TGACGTCTGGGACAATTGGTATTTCATGGTTAAAGACTTAAAAACTGCTCAAAGACACGGACAAGAACGAGAAGGTTGACGAACAACGGCGCTGACATACACCTAAAATTAATTTGCGCGATCATCGAATGTAGATAATGCAACGTCAACACGAAAAATAACGCAAAAAGTGTCTGCGCGCTGTTTTTTATTATTATTATTATTATTTTTAATATAGGGGACGCCCTCTTTATCGCTTTAGGACATTTGTAGCTTCCACGACGGTGCACGCAACTTCCGAGTTCGATCAAAACAAAGAGCACCTTAGTTGAAACAGTTATGTATTTGTATTTAGCCACGCACTATGCGCTTATACGGGATCCGCTTTGTATCTAGTGTATTTAATGACGCTGTTAACTACAGCGTGAGCGAAACATGCAGTTTCACGTGTATGTTTATTACATAAAGGAACCAGGTGTCGATCTACCCGTGCATTTTACTTTTCACGTTTATTGAATAAATTTGACGAGCAGTTCTAAACCTGTCTCGCAATTTCTTTGAGTTCTTACATTTCACATGTTTTGTCTGCAAGGACAAAGCTGCCAGCCGAACGCAAACACAATGGCGGGGAACAAAGACAGCACGAGCACGTTGACGACATTCGCCGCGGAGGAAAAGACGTCAAGATATGCAGCGCCAGCAACCCGAAGACGCCGAAGGGGACTTCACGAAGACCACTTCGACCGCTAGGCGATGCGAGCACTTCGACGACATTCCCCTCGGAGGGAAGCGACGTCAAGAAACATACCGACGAGCCGAAAACGCCTAAGCAGGCGTGACGAAGACTGCTATGACCTCTAGCCGTCGCGAGCACTTCGATGGCATTCCACTTGGAGAGCCGCGACGTAAACAAACATAGCACCGACGAGCCGAAAACGCCGAAGCGGACGCCAAAGGGCCGCGACCGCTAGCCGTCGTGAGCACTTCGACGACATTCCCCTCAGAGAGACGCGACGTGAAGAAACTGCGCCGAGAAGCCGAAAACGCCGAACAGGACGCCAAAAAGCCCCCTACGACCGCTGGCCGACGCGAGCACTTCGACGACATTCCCTTCGGAGAGACGCGACGTCAAGAAACTGCGCTGACAAACCGAACACGCCGATGCGGACGCCAAAAAAAACCCCACAACCGCTGGCTGACGCAAGCACTTCGACGACATTCCCTTCGGAGAGACGCGACGTCAAGAAACTGCGCCGATAAACCGAAAACGCCGATGCGGACGCCAAAAAGTCCCCTACGACCGCTGGCCGACGCGAGCACTTCGACGACATTTCCTTCGGAGAGATGCGACGTCAAGAAACTGCGCCGATAAACCGAACACGCCGATGCGGACGCCAAAAAACCCCCCACAACCGCTGGCTGACGCGAGCACTTCGACGACATCCCCTTCGGAGAGACGCGACGTCAAGAAACTGCGCCGACAAGCCGAAAATGCCGATGCGGACGCCAAAAAAAACCCCACAACCGCTGGCCGACGCGAGCACT